ACGTAGGTAGTCAGAGGTGGCGGGCGTGATTCTCTCCTTGATACAAGAATAGTGAGCCCCACCTGCCTGTCCTGCGTGTCCACTGAGAGTGGCTCTTCTCATCTAGAAGTAAGTGAAGGACCTTGTTCCACTTTGAGGGGCCCAAGGGGCCTATTCGATGGAAAGGCACGAGCACGGTAAGTCAGCCTCGCCCAGGTGCAGCCTGCACCTGGGCAGTATCCTTCCTCCTCTGCAGGACCGAGTTTAGGGAAGGCAAGAGGAGGGAGTCAATGTTTTGCCAGGAGCCAATTAACTCAGTTAATTCTAGCACGGGTTCCCTTTTCCCCAAAACAAAAACAAATCGCCACCACCACCTCTGGGCTCTACTCAGCGCCTGGCGGTCACACAAATAATTGTTGCTGAATCCACGGTTACCACCTGCGCCTTCCACTCCCGCACCTGGGACGCGGAGCGCATTTTTAAAGGCGCACTGCCCTCCAGCGGCGCAAGATAAATTCGCCCCGAGGCTTGCTACCCGACCCCCAAGCCTCAGCCTGACTTCTCCCGTAGCCCCCGGGAAGGTGTGGCCGCCACAGCAGTGTTGGTTTCCCATCAGCGGGAAGCGAGGCTAAAGGTGGGGAGGAGGGAAGCGCAATGTGATCTAGCCCGAAATCGCAGCTCCCTCATTCTTGTCTGCGGAGCCTCCTAGGCCAAAGACTGTGCTTTTTTTCTCTTAGAGTTGTAATTTGGGTTAGAAATAAGTATGACTGGACGGAAATGAATATTCGACGTGATGCTTCCAGGACAGACACGGAGCCCCCGCTGCATAGACGTAACCCAGGCGTGCAGGGGAACGGGAGAGGCGGCCTTTACCCTAGGAGTTCTGGCAGCCAGGACTTAGGCTGGGCGTGTGCGACCTCTCACCCTGTGGGGTTCACTCTGTGGGAAACCACAGCAGCCCCCATTGCAGGCTTACCCCATGTCAGGCTCTGTCCCGGGGTCCCGCAGAAATTACCCTTATTCAGTCTTCCCAATGAGTCCCTTTAGTGGTGCCATTATCATCCCACTGTGAGGATGGGGAAACCGAGGCTCAGAGAGGCGACGCGACCTGCACGGGGGTTCCAGCCTGTCTGGACCAGAGCTGGAGGTTCCCACGCTGCGCTCGGACCCCGGGCCGAGGGGCCAGGGTGCGGCGGGTGGGGACCCCCGGCGGCGTGGGTGCTCGGAGCCGGCGACTGCGAAAGCGCGGTGGGCGTGGGGTGCTCACCTTGACGATGAGCGGGTTCTGAAACATGGAGTCCCGCACGACCCCCAGCCGCTCGTTCTCCATGCCGGGACGGATGTCCGCCACGGTCAGGGGCCGCCGCGGGGGCGGGCAGACCTGGCTGACCGTGCGGCGCACAGGCTGCTGCTGCTTCCTCCATCGCGTGGGGTCCAGGCCGGCGTTCCTGCCCTCTGGCATCCTTGGGGTCGCCGGGGAGTCGGCCCGCGGGCTGGGTTGGGCGCGCTTCCCCAAGTCCAGGCCAGCTGGGAGCTCCGAGGCGCCTGCCGGGCGACCCGGGCCGCACCACCGGGATCCTAGGGGGGAAACTCAGATGCCAGGACCCCTCTGGAGCCAGGCGCGCCCCCCTCGCGCGGCTCCTCATTGCAAAGAGCTCCGGAGCCCTGAAGAAGCCCCGCCGGGTCCTCAGGGTGTCTCCTGGGCCCCGCGCTGCGGACTGGGAGAGGAAAGAAAACCAAGACCACCCCTGGAGGACGAATGCAACGGCCCGTCTCCATGGCGACGGGACGCCAACAGAGCCCGGCTCGGCTTGTACTTTTCTTTCAAGAAACTCTTGGTGGCTACCAGTGTGGACTTGTTTGGAGTTTTCCTGAATCGATACAGAAGAACCGAGAATCTCCAGTGGGTTGCGTTCAAAGCGGCGTGGCTCTTAGAGGGTCATTTACACTAGTCTTTCAAGTCAAAGACTCCATCCTCTGCTCACCCCCATTCCACTCACAAACCCTCCCCACCTCTACTCCTTGCGCCGCACACACACCCCAGAGAGAGCACGAAAGGCATTCCAAGCCTGATGCTGAGGCTGACCCACTGGGAGGACTCGTTGGATCCAATGGGCTTTTTTTTTTTTTTTTTTTTGGTCCTGTGAGATGGGTGACAAGGAAAGTCTAGAGTTGGATTAGACCAATGGTTCCCAAATTTAAGCAACAGAATGAAGGGAAATTGAAAAATACAGATTTGGGCTGGGCTCGGTGGCTCACCCATGTAATCCCATTGCTTTGGGAAGCCTAGGAGGGAGGATGGCCTGAGGCCAGGAGTTTGAGACCAGCCTGGACAACATGGTGAGGTCTCATCCCTACCAAAAATTTAAAAAATTAGCCAGGTGTAGTGGCACACACCTGTGGTCCCAGTTATGGGGAGGCTGAGGCAGGAGGATCGCTGGAGGAGGTTGAGACTACAATGAGCCGTGTTTGGGCAACTACATTCTAGTCTAGATGACAGAATGAGAACGTGTGCCAAAAAAAGAAAAACGAAGATTCACAGGACTCACTGAATCAGAATATCTGGAAACGTCACCTGAGGCTCTCTTTTTTTTATTTTTCTTTTTTTAAGAGACAGAGTCTTGCTCTGATAATGACATGAGCCACCTCACCAGGACAGATGCTGCATTTTTAAAAAACCCCTTAACCACCCACCCCCAACTTTGTGAAAAAGTTCAAACCTATAGAAAAGTTGAAAGTCAAAAGAAGAATACAATGAAAATACATATAGGCTTCACCTAGATTCTGTTAGATTTTGAAGGGAAGGGGAGGGTTAAAGAAAGAGAGAGTGGTGGCTCTACAGCAAACGCAGGCTTTATGTCCAGCATAAGACCTACAGAGGTGGGAGACCAGCTTAATGCCAGTGCCCACCGCTGCTTACAAGCTGGGGAAATTATAGGCCTGGGCAGGGAGGGGCCCCGGGGGGAATAGCCTACTGCCTGGGAAGATGTTGATAAGGTATTCCCATGAGGAGGCAGTTTGGCCCTTGTTCTGGTGGAATGTGATGTTCCTGGCACTTTCTCCCAGCAGAATATGATAAGAGGCATGCTGTTTCTCACCGCCTGAACCCCCGTGGAATGTTTCACTTTAACCAAGGTCTGTGGAATGGCAGGGGGCTTACAAAATGGTGTAGTTTGGACTAACAGATTCATCCATCCCCAGCACTGGCCACATTTTCTTGCTCTCTCTCTGTGAGTGTGTGAGTATGCACATACACACGTTACAAAATCACCTGAAAAAGTATCTGTCAACACCATATTTAACCCTAGGTACTTCATCAGGTAGCAAGGACATTCCCATGTATAACTACAATGTCATTATCATGTTCGAAGATTTTAATGTGATACAATAGTGTTTATTATAAAATCCATTGCAAAGTTGAGAATCTGCATTTAAAACAAAACAAAACAAAAAAGCTTCCCAAGTGATTGGTGCAGTTGGAGGAGGATTGGAAACCACTAACCTGTATGATCTCTAATCTCTCCTCTAGTGCCAGCCTTTTGTGGGTTCATTCATGCATCACTAGCACCACAAGGCTCTGGGTAAGTGGGCTCACCACAGAACACGTGACACCAATGACGAACCTGGACTTCAAGGCCTTACGTATCAACAGTGGACACCACCACATTTACAGACTTCTCCGGACAGAGCTCCAACTGCACATCCACATCCCAGAGCAGCATATATAGGTTCATTGTTTCTCCAACCTGCTTCCCTTCCAGACTTTCACGGAAGCATAGGTTGTGCATTTTTAAATCAAAGACACTTGGCAGATCACATAGAAGTCAGGTGGAACAGTGAGGGGCAAGATAGTGGAGTAGTAGAAAGAGCATAGGTCTGATTTCTGGCTGGCCCATTTAAGTCACCTTTGACAAGTTACTGTAAACCCAGGTTTCTTATCCACAAGGTGGGGCTAATAATACCTCATAGATACCTAGAAGGATTAAGTGAGAAAACTTGTTGCCTGTATCGTATATGTTCCCTATCCAAAACGGTTAAACGTTTGGTTGGTAAATATAATGGCCTTGAATTGATAACCAGGTTAAAGCTGCCCTTTTAGCTAGGTCTTTTCAGGACTCTGTTGAAATGGGAAGACTGGGATAGATCTCCAAACTCCTGCCAGCTCTAACCTTCTGAGACTTCGTCCAAGCTTAACATCCATCAGACTCTGCACCTGCAGACCTCTGACTTCATCTCCTACCCTCTCCCCTGCATTCACATGCATTCACTTAGGCTGGGCGTGTGCGACCTGTCACCCTGTGGGTTCACTCTGTGAATTCACTCTGTGCTCCAGCTGCTCTGGTCTTCTCCCAGGTCCTCCAGCAACCAAGTTCAGGACTTTTCCATTCCCTTCCAGTCTGGAACACTCTTCTGTCTAGATTTTTTGCCTGCCCTTTTCATTTAGAACTCAGCTCAAATGTCTCTCCTCAGTGAGCCCTCCCTTACATCTAAAGTAGCACTCACTGTCCCCTAGTCACTCTCCATCATGTTACCCTATTTTATTTTCCTTACAAGGTAATCAGAAATTATCTTAGTTGCTTTGTTTGTCATCTGTCTTCCCAAGTTGTTCCTGGAGTTCACCAAAAACTCAGCTCAAATGTCACTCCTCAGTGAGCCCTCCCTTACATCTAAAGTAGTACCCACTGTCCCCTAGTCACTCTCCATCATGTTACCCTATTTTATTTTCCTTACTAGATAATCTGAAATTATCTTAGTTGATTTATCATCTGTCTTCCCAAGTTGTTCCTGGAGTTCACCAAAAACTGGAATAAATGGAATGCACGCATGCATTAGTACGTCAATGGAGGGGGATTCTGTCCTACTTTCTTCGTTTTAGGAGTACGCTCTACCCCACCTGACCTCTAAAGGACCTGGAAGGAAAACGGGTAGACAACTGCGCGCGCTTCCACTGCCTAGCGGCAGCCGTGTTACCATGACAGCGTGACGCCGAGGGGGCCGGAAGGCGACGCACTACTACTTCCGCTTCCTCATCAGCAGCACTTCCGGGTTGGGAGAAAGGTGGCAGCGCTTTCGGAGGGTAAGTTGAAAGCGCCTTTGTTAGTTTTTTCTGTATTTCAAAATGCGCGCGTAAAAACCCAGCGTGGGGTGGTGGATTTCCCCGTCTTCTGGGTGACGCGCCTTTTGGCCTGAGGTCTCCAGGCCGCAGTCTTCGCCCCAGGCCTTATCTTGGGGAAACTGAGGTTTAGGTCTTTTTTTTTTCTTTTCTTAAAGATGGAGTGTTGCTCTTGTCGCCCAGGCTGGAGTGCGGTGGCGCGATCTCGGCTCACTGCAACCTCCGCCTCCAGATTTCAAGCGATTCTCCTGCCTCAGCCTCCCAAGTAGCTGGGATTATAGGCGCCCGCCACCACGCCTAGGTAATTTTTGTATTTTTAGTAGAGATGGGGTTTCACCATGTTGGCCAGGCAGGTCTCGAACTCCAGACCTCAGGTGATCAACCCGCCTCAGCCTCCCAAAGTGCTGGGATTACAGGCGTGAACCACCGCGCCTGGCCGAGGCTTGGGTCTTTGGGAGTGAGAAGATGGAGAATTCACATCTGGTTAGTTCCTCCCCTCTCAGCCCTGGAGCGCCCACCCGGGAGCGGAGCGGGGTTTTTCTGGCACCTCAAAGGCGGTAAGAGAATCCGGGACCAGGTTTGAGCACATATCTGCAGGGCGGGAAGTGTATGTTTTGAGTAAGGGGGGATAAATGCATATCCGTTCTTTCAATATGTTTGGAGCACTGGGGAGCCATTTGGGAGCAAGGTGGCCAAAATTCCAGCCCTCAAGAAGCCGATCATATTATAACTGCCAGAAGTGTGGTGGGAACTGAAAAAAAGCAGGGTTTCTGAAACCTAGAGAGAAGTGAGAGGTAGAGAGGTAGGCATGGACCTACCTCTCTCCATCTCTAGGCTAGATTATGAAGAAATGAAGACCTTTGCAGGTCTGTGAGGATTTTGACTTTATATTAAGAATAACAGGGGAACTCTAAAAAGTTTTTAGCAGGGAGAGACTATATATTTAGAAAGTTGTACTAGGCTCCAGAGACCAGAGGAAGTATTTACAAAAAAGAAGGAAAGGAACTGATGGAAGGGGAAATGTTATATAAAGAAATCAAGGCTGGGCGCTGTAGCTTACGCCTGTAATTCTGACACTTTGGGAGGCCGAGGCAGATGGGTCACCTGAGGTCAGGAGTTCAAGACCAGACTGGCCAACATGGCAAAACCCCGTCTCTACTAAAAATACAAAGATTATGGCCGGGCGCGGTGGCTCAAGCCTGTAATCCCAGCACTTTGGGAGGCCGAGACGGGCGGATCACGAGGTCAGGAGATCGAGACCATCCTG